TAGTTTTATGCTGTATCTATAACACAGAAATTATATTAAAGTGATATTCATTTCAATAGTAATTAGTTATACCTGACAAGGGGAATATATCATATAAGTAGAAATCTACAATCGACATCTTTGTGGGTGGTACAACAATATTATACATCAGGGTTATATCATTACTATCTTTTCAGACACATGGATTATAACTCGTACTACATTTATATATCTAATCATTTGAAAAAAAAACCTATCATAAATATAGTTTTTACATTATGACACTTTTTTGGCTTCAAATGTTATATAAAACTAATTTTTCATTACCTATTTTTACACTATTATTATATCAAGGAATAGCCATCTCGAGTCTTATAAAAATCTTACTTAATGCACCATTAAGTTATTAAGTAAATCAATTTGTGATTTATATCAGTTTTACAAGTATATTGTAATGTTGTAGACCTATAGATGAGGCCTTGTTGACTAGATTATAAAACTTAATTTGTTCATGTGCCCAGAGGCATCATCTCTTATTCAGTCTTCTGTAGTTTCTAGTCTCTTGGTTCTTTAGTTTTTGTGTGCTCCAAAACTACTTCAAAGATTTCAACAAAATGTGGCTTCATAGGTGGTATCCTTATTCTAATTTGTTCAGATCTATTTGAATACATTTCAATAAAATAAATTGTTGAATACATTGGTAGTCCTAAAAAGAGAACAACACTTGTTTGTGCCCATGTGGATCCTTGTTTCACTGATACATTTCTTCCTTCATTTTAGATTAATTTTGACCAAATGAAATTAAAATAAAGATAAGCAAATGTATGCAATTAATTTAATTTGTGTGCAGAATATTCTTTTTTGTTAGGGGATGAATTGTATAAAAGTTGAAAATAATTGGAAATCGGTGAGATTTTGTTTTGTAAATTGATGCAGAAATCTTGCAGCAGTCGTTGACAATTCTATGGCTTTGAAGGACTAGAAATACAGATTTCTTTGAGACTGTTTGACAGATTCGTATATAATTATGGAAGAACTTGTTAAAATTTGTGTAATAATACCGTGGGGGAAACTTATCAAATTGTAATTTTCGGGTCTTCTACCAGACCCAGACTGGTAAATGGTAGAAAGATGGAATTCAAACCTCAGTGTTGACAGATGGTGATTAATACTGAATCAAGTAGGGGAGAGGGTTTTGTTCAAGAGAAGATTCTACCACAAAACAATTTGTACATTGATGAATTTGTGATTATTTTCCAATCTTGTTTACTAGGTTTTACAAAAACTTTGATATCACTTGCACACACATGCATGTCAATTGTCTATAACTCTTATCATATTCCAAATGGAATGATGGCGATCTTCCATGATTGCTAATATCTAAATGTGGCAATACATGTACATGTGCTGATAATGTTTAACCATTGCAATGGTAAGCTTAATGCATTCAAATTTAAATATGTGTCATAAAAATTAAAGTGAACTTGATAAAAAATAGATATACATGAATGTATAGTCAGCCTTCAAAATTATAACTGTCTTTATACTACATGTATAACAGTATGATAGTTTAGACATGGATTTCAGAACAAATAAGCTTCTTGATAGATGTGCTGTAACTTCATAGATATGGATGGTGTACAAATTCAAATGGGAACTAAATTCAAATAATAGGTTGTTGCTTTATGCAGAATTGTGAATTTCATCATGGCATTAAATTTTGAACTTCTCCTGTTGTAAACATGTGTTTTATTATTCTTTTTAAACTTATTACATCTAATGAATTTTATTTATTTTTTATTTTTGAGGAGAGTAATTGCTGTATATATTTTAGTTGAGGTTATGTTTATTTTCTTTACATTCTAAGTAAGTATGTGCTAGCTAACACATGATTTCATCATTAATTTTAAAAATGGATCTCTCTTGACTTGAACTACACAGTTTTTAACTCGAGATAAGGTTTGAAAAATCAGTTTGAAATAAAAAATGTTTAGAAACATGTCATGGATCATGTAGACTCTTGTTTTTTCTAACCATAAACAAATTAACACCTAATGAGGTTGAAAGACCAAGCAAGAGAGCTGGTATCAAGTTAACCAGATTTTTTCCACTTGGGACAAATCTCAGTTTGTAATTAGTGTTAAGTAGTCAGGAATAGAAGTGCCAGTTTTTGAACTGATCATATTTTAAAGTGAAAAATTGCCACCACTTAGAAATGGCATGTTTGAATACTGTATTATGAGTTAAGTAATTAATATATGAGTCAAAACAGGTGCCCTCTTTTACCATGTTTATTGATTCACCCTACTTCAATACTTGGTGTTTCTACCTTCATATTTTAAATCTTGACTTGAACAAGTGATCAGCCTACCCGTACGTATGCCAGTTATAAGATAAAATATACTTGTAATTGTAAATTTTTACTTTTTGAAATAAGTCTAAAGCATAATAATAGAAGCAATTATCGTTGTATTCATAGTATCAATAATAATATTCTTTGTACAGAAATAAAAAGCTTCAGCTCTATATTGTGTAATACATCTGTATAAGATACAGAATGTTACATGTACATGTATGTATAGTCTTTAGTATTTCTTTTGTGGATACCTTAATAAAATACATGTACAGCATGAAATTTCCATTTGCTTTATCACTGCGGACAAATATCTCCTTATTAGAACCGGCAATGTATTTGGAAAAGAAAGGATTAAAAAAGTAAAATGAAATGAAATTGGAATAATGCCCTACTGTTCTGCTCCGAACTGGGCTAATGAAGACGGGCATACTCCATACAGTGTGCTGAGGGAAATTTTGCCCGGACAGCGGCACTACAGCCTACTCTTATATCGAATCCCAACTGTCAAGGGATCTTTTACTTTCACGCCAATCTGTACACGGGACCTCGGTTTTTCGTCCCATCTGAATGACTAGACAGCTGTCCTTGTCATGCCCTCCATCCTGCATCACTGAAAAGTGGGAACCACGCCGGAAAATCTGGATGAACTTTCTCGACCAATGCAGGGATTGAACACCCGCCTTCAAGGTAGCGAGCCAGCATCTCACCCAAACAAGGGTTAAAAAACTCCTGAATTGTGATTTCATAAGATGTGACATGAATCGAACACAGCAAAAAATAAAATTCATTTGTCTTGTTGACTCCAGGCTAGCACAATTTTGGAACTATTACCTTGCTAAACTCAATCTCAGAGTCATTTTATATATTTTCAGTGCATCTATGTTTCAGTGTTCTGGTTTAAGTCGTCTTGTCAAAGAAATCTTTTTTTTTCGAGCTGTTGTATAATCAGCCAATCGGTTTTTATCACCAAATTATTGATTAATATTTCAATATGTCTGCCCAATTCATTAAATCACACATCAATTTCTTCTACATGTAGGGCAATCAGATTGATTATTTTATTTTTTGGGAATAATTTTATGTCCTATTAGATCTTTTTTGGTTGTTAAATGCTGCCTTAGGAGAATAGAAGTCTGGTACACAGAAATTGATGTTCATCTGGTCTGACAATAATTAGACTGACAGAGAAAAGGAGGTTCTTTGAATTCAAAGAATATTGATATGCTTGGAATAAATAAGAGGGATCCATGAATTCACTTGGTTGATTGACCTTTTTGTTAGGGTCAGCCCAAAAAATGAAGGAAGATCAGTCAGAGATTTTTGCATTAATCTCATCCCCTGATGATCAAAATATAGATAATTTGAGAATTAAAATCCGAAAATTGGCAGAATATTAGGGAATGCAATTGATTGAATTAAAATTAATTTGAAGGAACGCCTTGACAGCAGCTGCCGCTCTGTATCAGAGATAGTTTATGCCAGACATATTTGTTTTGTAAGCCTATTGGGAATTGTGTACATACAACATGCAAGAATATAAAATGACCCTTGGGCAATTGTAACGTGAAGAAGTACAGTAAACTCTGCTATCCTGGCAGAATTTCCTTTCCATCAATCTTGTACTTGGTAGAGTAGCACTGTACATAAAATATTCCACAATAATCTTAAACATGACATAATTGACAGTGACATATTTACATGTAACAGCCCAACCCAACCAAGCTTTCAACTCCTTGCTCTTGTTTTTTTTTTTATTATCAAGCATGGCTATTTAGTAGCTCAATATATTTTTTTTTGTAGAGGGCTTCACTATCCATACCCATTTTTTTATACGCCCACATTTTCATGTGGACGTATATTGTCTTTGCCCCTGTCCGTCCGTCCGGACGTCCACAATTGTTTGTGAACAGTCTACAGGTCACAATTTTTATCCGATTTCAATGAAAAAAGAAATGTAAGTTTAGAACCCAAAGTTCTCAGTTCCTTTTGATATTCGCGCATATCGGACCGTAACTTCCTGAATTATGGCCCCTGATTGTACGAAAAATTGTATTTTTAGCTTGTGGACCCTATAGAGGTCATAATTTTTATCCGATTTAAAAAAAAACTATTATTATATCACCGTTACACTCTAAGGATGGCTGAGTTCGAATTTCGTGAATATCGGCCCAAAACTGACAGACAAAATGGCCGTCTCTCGTTCTCAAATAGCATAAAAATATGGTATTTCAAGGTTGTGGACCCTATAGAGCTCACAATTTTTATCCGATTTTGTTGAAACTTTAATTTTAGTTTAATAACCCAAAGATCTTGGTTCCTTTCGATATTTGTGCATATCGAATTGTAATTTCCTGAATTATGGCCCTTGATTGTAGGAAAAATCACTTTCTTTTTAGCTTGTTCTCTATCCATCTCTCTAAAATGTGGGCGTATCCTGCCTGGCAGCTGCTGGTTATATATCATGGCTATTTAATAACTCAAAAGATTTGTTTTGTAGCGGGCTTCACTACCCATACCCATTTAAGTCATTTAAAACTTAAGGTGTACCCCACACAATTTCAACAAACATCTTTACAAATTTTAAGTCCATTTATCATGCGGAGATCAGATGATTTAGTTTTGGAAAATGTTTTTTTTTAATTTATGATATTTTTTTATTTTTCAGAGCGAGCAGTCACAAAACTTCAGTTGGATAATATGGATATTACCAGGCGCCATCTTTCGTTTACTAATGAACAGGTAAGACAAAATAATAATTATGAACAGTTTAACAATAAGTGCAGAGAACCGCACTACACGCAAAACAAAACCAATAAGACAAACCTGCAGACAAAACAAAGTACACAAACATTGCAAGAAATAAACAACAAATAACACTGTACAGTCCAGGACCTGTAATAATACAGGCTTCACTCAAAATGAAAAAAAAAAAAATGATTTAATGCAACGTAATGCAACCAGTTTTGACTGTGATCACCTTCTGAATGGCGATAGTCTGCCAGTTGACGCCATGAGTGAGAACGTCAAAAAATTTAACAATAATGAGGTTGATAATCCAGATAGAATTTTGTAAAATGCTAAAAAAAATTTATAAATAAAGTATAGTGAGCAAATAGAAGCAAAGATTGAAAGAAACAAGAACAAAGGTCCACTGTACATGTTGGCATGCACATAAAAGAACCCTTGCAGTTAGAATTTGACGTGAAGTAGGAGGAAACAATGCTATTCTGGCAAAATTTCCCTAATAGCACACAGCATGGCCATGCCCATGGTGTATGTCCACCTTCATAAGCCCAGATGGTGCAGAAAAGTAGGATGTTAAACCCTATTTTATTTGACCGTTCAAGTAAACATCCTAGGGCTGATGAAGAACAGGGAAAGCAGTGTACCCAGAATGAAACAGAATTTTATTTCTGAAAAGCTCATGAAAGAAAGAAATGATGAATATTATAACTTTAGAAGTGCTACTTTTTAACCTGCATGTACTTACACTGTTATCATATTCAGAGATACCAGTACTCCTTAGCAAAAGGTATCAAATTTTAGGTATCTCTAGCTAGCTCTAAAATTGTTCAAAAATCAAAAATTTGTGTACATGTGTGAATTGGTGTGTGTGTGGGTGGGGGGGGGGGGAACTTAATTCACATTAGGGCTCTGCCTTGGACCTGCTGTGGGGAACTCAAAAGATCAACCTCCAGGCCAATATGCCTTCAAGAAAAGCCCTTTCGGAATAGCTGTCCACTACACCTTGTGTCCCAAATTGCTTCAGGTACCCATACTGAACCTAGACCGACTGACTTAGAGCAGGATATACTTAATACTGAGGATTATTCTACATGACATGTACACATGTAGGTACATGTCAATGTGGTTGGTTCTATACATACATGTATAACGAACAGATAGGAAAGTGTTATCTAAGCAGGAGGACTAATACTCCAAGATTTGAATTATTTAAACATTCATGATATTCCCTTGGAACTATCATCTGAAAATCATCTGGATGCATTGTAATGTGCATGGTTGCAAGGTATAGTTAGTAATTGTAAGTAATGGAATGTTTGGAAGGTGTAAGGTGTTCTACCACATCTAAATGATTTTAACATGCATACACTGACTATATGATAAAAACAGACTTAGAAGATGAGTAGTGAGGGAGAGAGAATGGCATATACCATGATATATAAACAACTTGTTAAATCTACCAGAACTATAAACAATCCACCATGTTGTTTACACTATGTAGACATGCTAGACATATACCTGTCAATATCATCCATCTTCACTCGTCAACTTTCACTTTTTCTGATTAACGCCACTCACTCTCTTTACCCAATGTCTACTTCTAAATCTGCATGGTCAAAGTCCTAGTTTTCACAGGGTCATTTATGTATGCAGATTAAACACCAAAGTGTAAAGAAAGCCTTTATATCAATAATATTATCAGCTCAAAATACATTAAGCTGTTTGGAGTTGTGTATGTCGTTTATAAGGGTCACCTCCGAATTTTCATCAAGTGGCATGATAAAAGTGACTGTTGGATACCCTTTCTTACAAACTTTGCCAAGTTGTAATTAAAATGCTGCAATAACTTGCAAAATCTATTTCTCACTAGCAAACAACAACAAAAAAAGAAATTATAATAGAAAATTGTCACTCTGCATAGAAATGAGTTATTATAAGCTTGTCTCCATTTACATGAAATAACTGGATGTATTTGCTCACATTAAACAGTTTTATTCACTCAAAGTATATTCTGGGATTTCCCTTTGAAAAGTATAAGCTTTTACGTACATGTAGCTTTCTTGAGGTTTATTCGTGTATTATTATTATTATGTTCAATAGCAACAGAAAGTGAGATATTAAAAATGAATAATTGATAGAAAAATTTTGTCTGGCTACTTAAAACAAATCCAAAAATTCCCCAAGAGTGCTAATTTAATGGGTATTCTATGTGTATTGAATGATTGAGATTCAACTGTTTTGTTTTCTTGCAAATTGTAGTGCAGATCAGAGTTCGTTATAAGTTGGATTTAGTGCAAAGTATGATCTGGGTGCATTATTTTTCTTTATATTTTTATTCTGTTCAGATTTGAGTGTTAGAAATGTTTACATTTCATAATAATAATAATAATAATTTAATACATTTATAAAGCGCACACGTTCCAGCTAGTATAGCTGCTCAGTGGCGCTGGTTTTACATCAAGATAAATACTTTAAAAATACATTTTTAATTTTAAATATATTAAATTTATAATTATTTTAAAACAAGGCTTAAAATTACTCAAAATTTAAAATATATATAAGTTTTAAAAGTTAATTAGCAAATATGAATAAAATCATTACATGAATAAAGCAATTTAAACACTATTTACACACTATTTAAAAGCATGATTAAAAAGTTCAGTTTTAAGGTTTTTCTTAAATACTGCATAGTTTGAGCTGGATTTGGTTTGTTGGGAAAGGTTGTTCCACAGCATCGGGGCAGAAAATGAGAAGGCTCTTTGTCCAAATAGAGTAGTGACTTTTGGAATTTCCAAAAGATTTTGATCACTTGATCTTAAAGATCTTGATGGCCTGTGGTACCCTACTTTAAAGACAAGACGGTTATAATTAAAACTATTGGATTTTGTACATTGTTACTTTAAAAAGTACTTTCCTCACCATTAATTTAAGTCCGATCAGATTCAGCAGCATAAGATAGCATTTTCTCCTGAAATGATGATACCAGGTCACTGTATCTGGAATGGATCCTTTAAAATAGAATGATCTCAAAGGTATCTCACAATCTAATATCAGCAACTCAAATGCAATGGTATTTGACTTGTTGAATTCTATCACATGAAGTACTCTTATGATTGTTGGATCTGGTTAATTAATATCTCTTGATTTGGACACCCTTGAGAAGCAAAAATCAGTCTTAATTAAAAATTGCCTGTCGTTTTCTTTCAACTTCAAACAGATTTTTCGTCAAGCTTGATTATAGAAAAAAAACGATTAAAAATAGTTTTCACTTTATCAGATGACATTTGTCTAGTTTTTGCCCAAAATCATTGCAAGAAATTTGATGAATCGGAAAATCTTTCTTGATTGCTTTAACTTTATTTGGTTGGAAATATGAAATTGACTGAAAAGAACATGCTTAATTTTATAGAAAGTTTATCTGAAGACTCATGGTAAGAAATTTCAACGTAAAATAAAACACTAGCCCATAATAACCCTATTTATTTCATTTTATTTCCTATTCAAATCTTGGAATCTCAGTGTTACAGATACATATACATAGTCATGAGTTATTTAAGGATGTTTTAACATGTTTGTGCTACAAATGAGCATGAATGAATTTAAATCTGTATTTGATTGATGCATGGAGACAGCAAAATGTATAGTAAACATACCATATGTTGGGGATGCCTCAATATGTAAATAAGTTTAGGGTGGTCTCATGACCCATCTAATACCACAGAGTCAAGAAAATTCTCATTTTACCAGATGTAACAAACATGATTGCCATTTAAAAGTGCATTTGCTCTAACGAATTGTTACTTTTTTTTATCGTCTCACGCATTGTCTTCAACCTCCAAGCATGAAAATTAGTAATTTTATGTGTTTGAAATTATTTGAAGCTCCCCCACATTGTAAAATCCATCAGTGATAGCCATCTTGAATTATGGCCTTCAAGTCAATCATCAACTCTTTTAAATGGTAAAATTTGTAATTTGTGGCCATTATTTTGATCAGATAGAATGGATAAAGTCTGTTCTTGCAAGTCAGACATATTTTTCTTGTATCAATAGGATCATTTTGAAATATTTGAATCTCTCAATAGTTTACACTCCCTGCTCATAAAATACTTGAGCTGATCTGAAACTAAGATAGCCATCTATTTGAAAACATTTGACTATGTAGGAGCTTGCTTGATAGCATTTTTATGTGCCATTCAAAAGTTCCTGTTAAAAATATATATCAAAACTTAGGTATTATTAATACTATTAAGGCTTTAGAGATCTTCCTAGTGTGGAAAATATATAATTTTTGATTTGCTGTGATTTGACTGCACAATTTGTATACAAATCTGCTAATCCTTTGCAATAAATTCATCTCATTGTATTGTACACTTGACGGAAAGCTAAATCAAACCCCATTCCATTCAACATTTCCAACCTCAAGGGTTTTCTCCAGGTCCTCCGGTTTCCTCCCACTGCTAAAAAGACATCTACGCGTAAGCAAATTATTGTGTTAGTCCCGAAATGACCTAGTTTGTGTCGAGTGGATGTTAAACCCCATTTCTCTCTCTCTCTCCATTCAACATTCAGTCATCTATGCAAGCCATTGGTTGATGATCCCACAATTATAATATATGATGGACGAAAGGTTGCCTGGTTTTGATATATGTCTTCACTCTCCAGGGAACAAAATAACTGTTGACAATTGGTTAGCAGTGCCAAACAGTTTTAATAAATTTTTGCTTATCAAATCAACTTTTGATTAGCAGTTTTGGTCATTTGAGGTGCAGTTACAATCTATCATGAATACTTAATATTAATTAAATGTAACAGTTTTTTTTCTATTTACCTTGATAGCCCATTTACATTATGGTAGCCATGGTTATTAAATTTTGGGGGTTATTGTCATTTTGGAAAATATTTTTTTTTTTCTATTCATATTTTGTGCATAACTTGCAAGTTACTGATCTCGCATGGCATGAATTGCATTGTGGATGATATCTTCAACACCAA